TGAGAGTTTTAATTATGAATTGATGTTGTGCTTTATCAGATGTATTTTCTGCATCTATTGAGATGGTCATATGATTTTTATCCTTTTTCTTATTGATGTCATGTATCCCATTGATTGATTTACAAATATTGAAGCACCCTTTAAATCTCACTTAATTGTGGTGAATAACCTTTTTTTTAATATATTGTAGGTTTTAAGTGCTAATATTTTGAAGATTTTTGCATTTCTGTTCATCAGAGATACTAATATATAATTTTCAAATAATAGTAGGGGACCTTAACCACCCACTTAAATCAATGCACAGATAATCCAGACCAAAAATCAACACAGAAATAGTGTCTGTGAACAGCACATTAGACCAAATAGACCTAACAGATATATTCAGAACATTCCATTCAAAACCAGCAGAATACACATTCCTTTCAAGTACACATGGAGCATTCTCCAAAATAAGTCATGTTTTAGGTCACAAAACCAGCCTCAAAAAAATTCCAAAAAGATTGAAATCGTATGATGTATTTTATCCGACCATGATGCTGTGAAACTAGTAATCAATCACAAGAAAAAATCTGAAAAGAACACTGAATACATGGAGACTAAATAACATGCTGCTAAACAATGAATGAGTCAACCAAGAAATCAAAGAGGAAATCAGAAAGTAAATGGAAACAAATGAAAACACACTTGAAACACAATCCAAGATCATTGGGATGCGGCAAAAGCTGTTCTAGGAGGGAAAGTTAGAGCAATACAGGCCTCCCGCAAGAAAGAAGAAAAATCTCAGTCAACCTAACCTTACACCCAAGGGAGTTAGAAAAAGAAAAACAAAACTCAAAACCAATAGAAGGAAGGAGATACTAAAGACTATAACAGAAATAAGTAAAATAGAGACTAAAGCAATACAACAGATCAATGAAACCAAAAGCTGGTTTTTTTGAAAAGGTAAACAAAATTGATAAACCTTTTGCCAGAAAAAATGAGACAGGACTTGGGACGCCTGGATGGCTCAGCAGTGGGTGTTTCCCTTTGGCTTGGGGCGTGATCCTGGGGTCCTGGGATAAAGACCCGCATTAGGCTCCCTGCATGGAGCTTGCTTCTCCCTCTGCCTGTGTCTCTGCCCCTCTCTCTCTCTCTCTCTCTGTGTGTGTGTGTGTGTGTGTGTGTCTCATGAATAAATAAATAGTCTTTAAAAAATATAATGAGACAGGACTCAAATCAGAAATGAGAGAGAATGCATAATAACTGACATCACAGAAATAGGATTATAAGAGAATATTATGAAAAATTATTTGCCAGCAAATTAGACAACCCAGAAGAAATGGATAAATTCCTAGACTCCTATAACCTCCCAAAAAGGAGTCAGGAAGAAGTAGAAAATTTGAGCATACCAATAACTAGCAAAGACATTGAATCACTAATCAAAAAACTCCCCAAAACAAACAAGTCCAGGACCAGATGGCTTCACAGAGGCCATGTTCTACCAAACATTTAAAGAAGAGCTATTATCTACTCTTCTCAAACTATTCCACAAAAGTAAAAGAGGAAGGAAAGCTTCCAAATTCATTCTATGAGGCCAGCATTACCCTGATACCAAAGCCAGACAAAGACACTACAAAAAATGAATTTTTCTTTTTTTTCTATGTTAATGAAAGCAGTCATCTTACAGAGTAATTAACTTGTCTTGGTGAGGCAGACTCCCTAGGTGATGTGTGGAATCAGTGGACAGTGCCAACCCACAGAGAGGGCGTTATATCTTGCTCACCCCTATTGGCAGCACCCACCATACCAGGTGCCCAGTGCCCACTCAGGTGTCTAGACTTTCCACTTTTTGGACTTCAGTCAGAAGAAGCAGAGTAAGCCAGGTTCAGACACATACCCTGTGTTGCTTCCAAGTGACACCCACCCTTGCTGCAGCGTCCTCATCTGTGTTCCCAAAGTAAGAGGGCAGCAGTCCCACCCCATTGTGGTGGAACTGGGCAGAGGGTTAGGGAAGGATTAGGTGCACGTTTGGTGAATTTTCCATCTATAGCAGATAAGGACTTGTAAAACCTTTCCCATAATACCTTTACTGCTTCTGACAACAACTCCCAAATACCATCCAATACACGCTGTTGAAATTATCTCCAAAGTTTCCAAAAGAAAAATGCTACTTTTACAGCTTTACTGAGGTCCATTCCCTATGTAACCTTCATCCCTTTATATAGTTCAGTAATTACATTATAGTCACAGAATTATGCAACCGTCACCACAATCTAATTTGAGAACATTTTTACAGCTAAAAAAGAAACCCCATGATGCTTACCATCACTCCTCATCCCTGTGCCCCCTTGAACCCCCTCTTCACTCAGCACAATGTCTTCAAGGTTCTGTTGTGTCGTAGCAGGTGTTAGTACCCTATCCTTTCCGTGACTGAATAATATTCCACTGTGTGGATGGACCACTTTTGTTTATCTATTCATCCCATAGACATTTGGTTGTTTCCACTTTGGTGCTCCTGTGAATAGTGCTGCTATGAATGTGTGTACAAGTTTTTCTGTGAATGGGCACCCGTGTGGGTCAGTCAGTTGGGCAGCTGCCTTCGGCTCAGGTCATGATCCCAGGGTTCTGGGATTGAGCCCTGCATTGGCCTCCCTGCTCAATGGGGAGTCTGCTTTTTCCTCTCCCTGTGTCTCTCCTCCCTGCTCTTGCTCTCTCTCAAATAAATAAAATAAAATAAAAATTTTAAGTTTTTCCCTGAAAAAAACAAACAAACAAACAAACAAAAAAACTTGGTTTGTGATTCAGATGGCCCCTGTCTCTTGGTTCTTAAGGAAAGGAAGAGAGGCAGGAGCATCTAATCTGAAGGTAGCAAAGCTGCTTTGTCTGAAGGAGAGTCTGTGTAGTCTTCAGGGACACTTCCACCCCAGGGCACTACAAACCCGTGACTCACCATGCTGGAAAACCACTGATCTGTTCCAGACACATTATTTTATAATTGAACCAAGGGATCCCAGACAAGTAGAATAACTGTATAATTAATCATTGGAAATCAAGGTGGGCACCCAGGCCTAATTGCTGGTGCAGTTATTTCCTTATAATTCCAGGCTTTATGTGTCTTTGACCATGTCATATCTTTAGTGCTTTTTGTAATAATCTTAAGTCATATCTCAAAATTAAAAATATAGTTAGCGTTCTTTGTATGTGCAAAGATGACACAGCATGAATACTTTAGGTCATAGCTATACCAGAACTTTCCTAGTGTACATATGTGTTAGTAATTGCAACATATTTCTGAAGCCAAACAGAACATCTGTTTTGTTTTTAAAATTTTATTGTGAAGATCATTTGCTTTAAAGACATTTATCTTTTTTTTTAATGGAATTAAAACTTCCTATCCAGGACATGATGAAATTTCAAGACTGAACAAATTCAGTGCTAGACATATTTTTTGTATTTTAAGTTTAAAATCAGAAATAAAAGTGTCTTCCAACTTAAGAGCAATGCTTTCTCCAGTCACTCTGAATTTCAGCCTTCCTAGAGATTCTGTTCTTGTCAGAGTGTCCCAGTTACACAGTGGGGTTGTAATTACACCAGGGCCTGGGCTCCCTCCAAGGCTGCAGTGGTGGCAGTGCCTCACTGTGGTTCATGGGGCTTGCACACTCTCAAGACCCAGGATCTGTGGGCTAAGGACCCCAGCATGTTTCGCCACATCACCACCCTGTTCTGCTGATTTCATTGTACCTGATGTTACTGTCTCTGTGATGTCCTGCTTATTTCCCCTACCACACCATGTGTTCCCAGAAAGGAGAGACCTTGTCATTCTGTTTATTATCCTTGTCTCTCTCTAGAACAGCATCTGGAACACAGAGTCCAGTCAGAATGAGAAATGAGTGAAGGAATGGCTCGGTATCCATCTGCACTGTCCCCGGATGCAAATTCTGTTGACTCCCCTTAAACTTTGCTGCCCAGTCTGCCTTAAACAATTGATGTCAGTGCATTTATATTCACATGGCAGGAAGTGTATTAGAAGGGTTCTTGTCAAAGGGATGAGTAACTGTATGTTCTTGTGCTTACCTGTCTCTTATGTTCAACGTAGCCAATTTAAATTAGCAATCTCGTACTTTCCTAAACTGGTTATAAATCTCAACTTTTTGTTCTATAAGATTCTACTTCTCTTAGCCATCTGTCCTGATTCTAACAGTCTTCATTGTATTATTATTATTATTATTATTCATATTATAATATCAAAATCCTAGCTATTATGAGAGAGTGCTGAGAAGGAAGAGCTAAAAAATAAAATTAGCTTGGGGTGCCTGGCTGACTTAGTTGGTGGAATATGTGACTCTTGATGTCAGAGTTGTGAGTTCGAGCCCCTCACTGGGTGTGGAGATTACTTAAAATCTTAAAAAAAAATAAGGGGCATCAGGGTGGCACAGTTGGTTGAGCATCAGACTCTAGGTTTCGGCTCAAATCATGATCTCAAGGTTGTGAGATCGAGCTTAGTGGCAGGCTCTGTGTTCGAAAAGAAGTCTGCTTGGGATTCTCTTCCTCTGCCCCTCCCCACTGCCTGTGCAACCTCCCCCACCCTCTGTGTCTCTCTAGAATGAATGAATGAATGAATGAATCTTTTTGAAAATAATAAATAGAATTAGCTTAAATGGGATAAAATCAAACTCACATCTTTGAAAGTTCAGGAAACTTGCTTCGGTGAATATGGAATATGCTGGTGGCTGTCACTTTTATCTGAGAGATTGGTTATAAGTGCATTCACCTGCATGCCACACACAGATATTTCCCTTGCTCCCTGGTTCTCTGACGGCCTGTGAAGTGGGGCAACTCTCTTCCTCAGTTGGAGAGAGTGCTATTATGAGATCAAGTCACTGAAGTTGAAAAGTTAGAGTGACCTAAATATAAGCTCCTAGTCTGATATTTTGTAGACACAAAACTGAGAGCAGCAAGAGAAGTCAACACATTTTCTGTATGTGTCCTTTATAAACTATTCTAGAAATAAGCACAAAAGATTATTACATAATGAAAATTTTAATACCATATGGTTTTGGTAAGTTCTAATACATAGTAAATACTGAGCTTGATGTTAAATTGAACTAAATAAAAGGATACTTTTGAACACATTAGGGCACAAAAGGTAGGTGCTAACAATGACCAGTGTAGCAAAAATTTTCAAGAGTTCATGCCTTATGGTTATATTCATAAGGTTGTAGCAAGGACAATTAATATGTTTTAAGCAAATCCACTACTTCCCATAAAATCTTTTGATCTTGAATAAAGAATAATGAGGGTGATCTTAAAGTATTGTTTAATTTTTTAGACTGACAGAAATTATTAACTTGGAGTAGTTTCAAAAATTTGTGTAGAATTCACATACACTCTTTTCCCAGCTTCCTCTAATGTTAGTAACCAGTATGTAACCACACTACAGTTCTCAAAACCAAGAAATTAACATGACAGTAGTGTTTTAATTTCACATGTGTGATTAACAGAAGGTACTAGATAAGGCCAATCATTAAGTATATTTTAACCAATAATTATAGCATAGCATCTTATAAAAAATGAATAGGTTATTGTTTTAACAGTAGGATCACTAACAGAACACTAATTCATAAATTCCATCTGTTCTTTTTTTCTTGCCATACACTTCTCGGTCTTGAACCATAACACATGTAATTTTTAAAGGGACTTGGAGGGTTTCTGTTAACGGCAATACTCAGGTCAGCTGTAAAGAACATGATTATTTTGTTCCAGATTTTCCCAGTCTTAGTCCACAGTGAATAACATCCTGTTCTCTAAGGAAGCTTGCAGTGAGAGGGCTTTTTTCTGGAGTGTGAAGCTGAAGCTTTCACTAAAATTGCTAGTGAAGTAACCTTGGGGTAGGTGTTGGTTGTTTTCTGTGTGGGGTGGCTGGTCGGGTGGGTGCTCCTTATCAATGACAAGAACGGCTACAGCACATGCAGGAATACGAGTTAGATGAACAAAAACCTGGAATCACTTGATATTTTGTGGCTTAAGAACTATACTTGAGTATGATCTTATGCACGAAAATGCATAGGATGATATTTCTCTTGTTTTAATATAATTGTTTTCAAGGTGAAGATGTTCCAGGGTCGAATCTCCATCTTCTTCAGCATTGCAAATTTGTTCTGGAAGAATATTCCTGAGGAAAAATAGATGTACAAGTCATAAATGGTCCAAGCAATATTCAGGCTTTATCATTTAGGAGTTAGTTGTACATTTGTTTAAAATTTTTGTTTTTAAAATAAAATTGGATCTTTTTCTTAGACACTAGAAAAAATTTCAAATATGTCAAAGATGTAAATGTGAAAAATGAAGCTATAGGGTAGAATAAAGTATGTCCTGGGAGTGAAAAAAAATCTCCCTGACTCACAAATGAGAAACACTAAAAGAAAATATTAATAAATTGGCTACAGGTCTTTTAAAAATGCAAAGTTAAAAGACATGAAAAACTAGGAGAATGTTTTTGCAACTTACAGTTATAGGGCTAATATCCAAAGCCCTCCTCAAAACCTATGGAGAGAAAGGAGAAGAGGGGCAAATGCTTGGCTAACCACTTCACTGAAGTAAAAAATGAAATGACGTGGGAACATGAAGAGACACTTAGTTTCATTCATGAGAAGAGAAATGCAAACTTCAAGTACCCTGGCACAACACTGCCACTTACCAGATTTGCCTCAACACAAAAACACTCAAAAGCTCATCAACATGGTCTGGTCCTGGGGCTGTGCAGGACCACACACCATGGTGGGAGCTCAGGACAGCACAGCCTCACGTGCAGGGACCAGGAAGCATCATCTCCCTTCGCTCAACTTAGGAACCTATCGCAGAGTGAGACCGGGAACATGTAAAATGCTGTCCAAACAAAGTTAGGCATCATGGCATTATTTGTAGTAGTAAAAGAAGGGAAACAGGTAAGGAGCTGGTTAAATGAAATAATCATGTAATGAAATACTGGTCACTTGTAAAAAGAATAAGGAAATTCTCTATACTTAAGGAGCAGATATGCTGATAATTACGGAATGTAAAAAGTAAAAACACTAGAGAGAGAGAGAAAAGAAAAATCTTTCTGTGTCATAATTTGTGTTGGAATTGTGGGAGGGGATGGGAAATATGAATCTGCATGTATGCTTATGTCTGCAAAAAAAAATACTGGGGAAAGGTACAAATTAATTTTAAAAGAATTAAACTCTGGGGAATGATGGAATATAGTATATCAGACCATAGAAGAAAGACTTCTCTTCATATACTTTTTTACAGTTCCAACTTTGGAATTATATAAACATTTAACATAGTAACAGTAACATTAAATAGGAAATTACAATTTCTAAAAACCAAAAACAAACCCCTGATCTGATTGTCAGGTTGTTGATGTGTTGTCACAGAGAAAACCACTGTATTTCTGTGACAGGCCCTCATGGAACATAGGCTAAAGACTAAGAGAACGCTCCTGAAAACATTGTTTTCTTCATCTGATACTTTTGTAGTCATAATACTAGCATTCTCACTTTGAAACTGTGTTTTGTATATTGCAAGATAAAAGTTAATTTTGTTGGGAACCTAGATTTCCAGTAGAAGATTAACAAAACAAAGAAACAAATTTAATCTATATGGTTACATTTGAATTGAGAACATTAGTATGAAGTCTTGTTCTCTTTACAAAATATATATTTCCTGACAGTTCACTATAAGGCCTCTCTCTCTCTCACTCTCTCTCTCTCTCTCTCTCTCTATCTCCCTCTCTCTCTGTCTCTCTCATGAATAAATAAATAAAATCTTTTTTTTTTTTTTAAAAAGACCTCGAAACAGAAGAGGGACGTGTCTGGTCCCCAGCCTGAGTGTGTGAGTGCTGCTTGCAGTGAGGGGGTGTGGGGCCCTCCAGAAGAAAGCCCTACACAGGGCTCCCACTGGCCAAAGAGTGGGGTTTAAGAACAGTAGTTATCGTTGATTAAAACATTCCACATGTATTAAACTATAAGTTAACATTGATTCTCCAGAGAGATAAAGTCAAAAACAAAATAATAAAAGAGAAGCAGTTAGGCACCAACTTCTTTTTGTTCCCCCTGAGACATCTGCTGTTAACATTTTTATATATTGCATGGTCCTTCCCATTCTTACATAATACATATCTATCATTTTTTCAGTTGTATAAAGACAGAATTAACATACAACATGATACTACTTTAATGTATACAACATGATTTGATATTTGTATATATTCAGAATGATCATCATCACATTGTTTAGCTCACATCTGTCTCCTCACATAGTCAGATATTTCTAACCAGCTTCTGGTCTGATTGGACATTTAAAGAAAGACCTGAGCATTTATCTTACCTTTCAGAGTAACAAAGTGGCCCTAGCTGATGGGAAAAAATCCTTGACAAAGGGATTCTAGCTACCAAATGTGTAAAAGGTAACAAAAGAGCCAGTCACCATTTCGTTGCCCCTCAGGAAGTAAAAGAGTTTGCAGCAAAGTCATCTGTGAGTGAGACCTCTGGTTCAAAGGTGGAGGAGAACAATATTCATGGAGGTTCCAGACTGCGACCACCTGAATCCCAGCACAGCGGGACCCCTGTGAGGACCCCTGTCCTCACGCAGTAGCAAGGAAGCACTCAGCCACATGGCTTTTCACAACCTCTTACAAAGCCTCCCCACTCCCACCCATGATTCTTCCCCTCTTGTTTTTTTTAGGAGTTTGTTTTTGGAGACCTTCATTCTCTTCAGGCAGACAGGAAACTGTGTCCCCAAAAGTGAGAGAAGCTGAGTCTCAATAATTTTATTAAGAATTTTACCTTCAGAAAAAAATCTGGATAGATCAGTTTATATATTTGGGTTTTATGCTCTACCGATTAGTTCTTAAAATCACACGTTAGTAGAAGCTGGTTCCCAGTATTATGTAGTCATATTCTTTTCTAAAGGATTTTTACTGTGAAAGTTTGCAAATGTACGCACATGTAGGAAAGAGCTATGATGGATCGTCGTGTACCTATCACCCCCCTTCAGTCATTACAAATGTGTTCCAGTCTTGTTTAATGTGATCTCTTTCCTTTTTCCCCTTTTAAGTAAATCCCAGGCATCATATCATGCATGATTTGTAATCATATCCTCTGTCAACTATAACAATTTAAATCAATACTTGAAAAGGCCAAAATTTACCGTATCTTGTTGTTGTTCAACCTCAGAAAATGTAGTGCTTTCATTTCTCGTACCCCTGGTGGTATAGATTTTAAGTCATTGTGATCCAGAAACAGCTCTCTGAGAGAATGATACGCCCCATAGAAGGAGACTCGGTCCACACCATCATCTGAGAGTCTGTTAAATGACAAGTACAGATACTCCAGGCCTGGCTCCATGTGGCCAAACACGTAGCCTGGGATGCGCTCGATTTGGTTCCCAAGGAGCACAAGGTGCAGTAGCGACTTGGGCAGGTAGGATGGGACGTGGTAGAGCTTGTTGTAAGAGAGATCAATGGACTCGAGATTTCTGCAGCAGAGAAGGGTGAGAGTGGGGAGCATAAGGCAGGAACCATTAACTCCAGGCTCGAACAGGTCCAGTTGGGATGCTTGGCCCTTTTCCCACCACCACCTGGTTGGCCGTAGAGATTCCTGTGTCAGGTGGCTGTGTGCAGCCTGCTCCATTACCAGGAGCATCAGGTTCAGACACAGCCACTCTCTTCTAGGGTCAAACATGAATCAGAAATGGAGTCCAGGGATCCTTAGATGGCTCAGAGGTTTAGTGCCTGCCTTCAGCCCAGAGCGTGGTCCTGGAGTCCTAGGATCAAGTCCCACATCAGGCTCCCTTCATGGAGCCTGCTTCTCTCTCTGCCTATGTCTCTGCCTCTCTCTCTCTCTCTCATAAATAAATAAAATCTTTAAAAAAAGAAAAGAAAAGAAAGAAAGAAGAAAGAGAAAGAAAGAAAGAAGAAAGAGAAAGAAAGGAAAGAAAGAAGAAAGAGAAAGAAAGAAAGAAAGAAAAGAAAGAAAGAAAGAAAGAAAGAAAGAAAGAAAGAAAGAAAGAAAGAAAGAAAGAAAGAAGAAAGAAAGAAAGAAATGAAGTTCAGAGTCCTGGCTGTTGTCAAGCTGCCTCTGCCTGAGATCACCCCTGGTTCCAGCAAGGAAATGGTGGTGGTGTGGAATCTGCGCTCTTGCTCCACACCTGCTCTCATGGCCTGGCATTTGGGACTTGCAGAGAAATGAGATCTGGGAAAGGTGGCTGCCTGGCTTCTGAATTGCCCTGCCACCACCACGTCCTGCTGGGCCCTGCTGAACCTTGACACCCTTCATCCCTCTCTCCTGCCCTCGTGCCCTCACCACACAGCCTGCCAGGCTCCCTGCCGTGGCCTATCCTGCTCCTTCTAATAGGCAGGACCCCTGTGTCCTTGCCAGGAAGATGGACCTTACGTCCAGCCTTCCCTATCAGGTCAAGCACCCTTAAGTCTATTTTATGAGATAGAGAAATGGTTTGAAGGAATGAAGACAGTGTGACACAGGACAAGGGAACCCTGAGAGGTCCCATGGTAGGGTGAGGTTGGGGGCCTCTTACATCCTCCTCAGGGGCAGAGATGGTCTCCCTTCAGCTTCATGACCAGCTATGAGGTGGACAGACCTTGGGTAACTCACTACTTGGGGTCGTGGCAGGGTGAGCAGAGCAGCAGTGACCATGGTCGCCCCAACCCCAGTCCTGCTGTAAATGATAGGAGCTCAAGCATGGGGCCAAGTTGTGGGGAGGGAGAGGGGCGCCATCAGTAAATGCACTTCCCCAGGGCTGGACCCTAACCTCCCCACCGTGTAGAAACTGCAGAAACCCAGAAGCCAAAGAGCATTGTGTACTCACTCTTGATTTATCCAGGCTAAAGGAGCAATCCTGTTTTCTTCCAGTTTATTGTAACGTAGCACAATGATGTTGATCTTTCTGGTGTGGTTGAAACAGATCTCAGTTATTTCTTCAATGTGGTTGTTTTCTAGGTATAATTCCTGTAATGATGAGAAGAGACTGTTTTCCTTTGTGTTGGTTGGTACATATATTGAGTTTCATAGAGACAGAGATGGTACTGTGGACTGTTCTCATTTATTATCTGGAGAGTCTTCTGCTGTGCTTCTGGGTGAACTCATAAGTTGTCCTTTTAGTGAAATAAAAGGTACTGTCTTTCATGGTCATGGAATTAAACGAGTTTTTTAAACTATGTAATGTTGCAAAATACAGCATACCATAATTGTATAAAGCGCTCTAATTTACAAAACTCATTCATGTAAATTATGTCATTTGGGCTTCAAAACCCTAGAAAATGGGTAGAAATGACCATTCCTGGTCAGTAGCTGAGATGCTCAGGCCTGGAGAGAGGATGAGGCATGTGGTCCCACACCTGATGCCCAGGAGATACATGTCCCCACCAAAACCCGGCTCTAGGGAGTCCATGCTGCCGGCCAGCTTTTAGATTTGCTTGTATTATATAATTAATTAAAAATTAATTAAGAGCCTTCATTTACTATCAGGGTCAAGTTTGCTAGAGCTGTTCTTTTCTTTCTTTTCTTTTTTTTAAAGATTTTATTTATTCATGAGAGACAGAGGAGAGAGAGAGAGAGAGAGAGAGAAAGAGAAAGAGAGACAGAGAAACAGGCAGAGGGAGAAGCAGGCCCCAAGCAGGGAGCCCGACGTGGGACTCGATCCCGGGTCTCCAGGATCACGCCCTGGGCCAAAGGTAGCACTAAACAACTAAGCCACCCAGGCTGCCCTAGAGCTGTTACTTTCTTTTTTCTTTTTTTTTTTTTTTAAGAAAAATTTTTAAAAATTTTATTTATTCATGAAAGACAGAGAGAGAGAGGCAGAGACATAGGCAGAGGGAGAAACAGGCTCCATGCAAGGAGCCTGATGTGGGACTCGATCCTAGGACTCCAGGATCACACCCTGAGCCCAGGGCAGGTGCTTAACCACCGAGCCACCCAGGCGTCCCTAGAGCTGTTATTTTCAACAGTGAGCTGCCTTCAGGTTAAATTCAGTTAGCATTACTGGGAGTTCTTCACTCAAGAACCTGGGAGATTAGAAATAGACATTGGTCTATGTCCTCATTCTCTATTCCTGTTGTAGTAATTTTCCCTTATTTTCATTTAATTTTGTGATGTGTTAAATATGAAGAAGGCAATTTCTAGCTTTTTGCTTTTAACTTCGTATGTGTTTAGGGGTGAATCAAATCAGCGGTCCCGAACTTGATTGCATATTAGAATCACATGTGAGCTTTTTAAAGCGTAACTTCCAACCTAAATGTACTGCAGTCAGAGCACACTCATCCACACACAGGACTCTGTGTCTGTGCGGCAGGGTCCTGAAAGGAGAGTGTACAGGCCTGCATGTATGCTGCCTCCCATGCCAGTGACTGGGGTCTCTGGAAAGAAAATCAGGCACGGATGGAGACACATTGCTGCTCCGTATTATTCAGGTTGTGTTTTGTGTGCATGCATTATGTATTAAAACCTTAATGTAAAAAGTTATAAATTACTGACCCCAGCCTCCAAAGAACCTGATGGAGGATATATGTGGTAGGATAAGGAGTCTGTATTTCTTTAGAATCCAAGAGATTCTGACATAAAGCCCAGTATCAGAACCTCATTTTTACAATCTTGATAAATTCTAAACTGATATGTTTAACAAGATAGGAAGACAAAGAAAGGAAGTGCTGTGGCACTGTGTCAGACCCAGGCCGCCAGCTGTGGGGAGGCTCCATCCTGCATTCCTGCCGAGGAATTGTGTGTGTGCCCTCTGCTTCAGGGCAGGAAGTCTGGCGCACTGGGCAGTGAGGGCCCCAGACTGTGTGCAGTGTGTCCCCTGCTGCAGCCAGAAAGGCCACACACCTGGGCCCAGGGTGGGAAAGGCCGTGTTCAGCCTTGGGGTGGGGGGGTGGAAGCTGTCTTACAAGTTGGAATTCTGTTTAAATTCTCAGCCCATCTTCTCTGTGCTCTCCCCAAGAGCTGTCAGTAAGACCAATTTTCCACTTTATCAAGGGTCACTACTAATAATTATAATTTTGACTCACAGTTTGGTATTGTTTGAAGAAACAACAGTGCTCAAATTATAGCAAATTCAGTATACAGCCCCCAAACATCACAGTGTGATGTTGTGTGTTTAACCTACATCACAGTAATCTTTTAGAATAGTACTGTTTGTCTTATTGAAGCATGTTGTACTTAAAATGTAGCACATTGTTGGAAAGATACAGATACCTCAATAGAAGCAGGAAGACCCTGTGGTATAATTCTGAATTTATTTCTTCCCAGACGTAGGTAGGACAGACTCTTCAAAGATTTGAAAGCCAAGGGATTGACATTGGTTTCACTGAGATTGTTTCCTTCCAGTTCTAAGGTGACCAGTTGATTTAGGTCTGTAAAAAATAAAACCTAATTATCAGAATATTAGGAAAATCAAACAACCATGCAGTTTTTGTATCTTTCAAAATGTCATGTGAGATGTTCAGCTTATTTGGATGGTGGATGTTGCTTCTTTCCTGGTATCGCCCATGGTGAGTCTTCTCCCAAGTGCTCTGTGCACCCCAGATGACCTGCTCAGCCGGGACCAAATGCTGGCTGCACGTGGTCCAAGGGAGAGGCCCACTGAGCAGTCACCATACTATAGGATGTCTAAGGAACAGAAGCTGAGCGGCACCCCCAGGGCAGCGAGGGCCAACTAGGGACTCAGAACACAGGTGGGCAAGAAGTAGAAGGTTGCGGAGGTCATTTAAACATTTGCAAAGACATGGACGCGCATATGACACAGCAGCATTAAAATTAGGGGTGCACGGGGAACATGGGGGCACAATGCCTGGCAACTGTCAGTCTCTGAACAAGGAAGTTACAGCAATGAATTCCTGTCACACTTGTTCACGTCCTGGCAGCCAAATGGATGTTTGGAAAGAAGGATCAAGAATTGTCCATGCACTTGAACTGAGATACCAAGAAAGTCTTTTTTACAAACAAGTTTCCCTGCATTGTTTCTCCTGGCCTCAGGAGTGGTATGATCCAGATCACTTGGAATTCTACAGGAGAATGGACAGCTCAGCAGTGATGATACCCAGAGGCATCTGAGTCAGACATTCAGGGTGTAACTTTGGAGTTTGTTCAGTAGCCAAGATTTCCAGAATAGGAATGTTTTTATCTTCATCTTCAACTCAAGTCATGGGCATTGCACTGAACACCCTGTACGGCTCTGTTCCTGCTTCCAGGCTTACCAGAGAAATAAGACGTGATCCAAGCAAGAGCAAGGCACAGTATCATCAGGGGTGGGGTGGGAGAGTGGGTGGGGCTGGGCTCCCAGGGACAGGAGGCTGTAGGTACAGGAGGGGAGGTGGAGGCAGCCAGGTAGACACGGGCAGGTCAGAACCCACGTGTCTGTGCTTAGCAGAGGAGCGGGGCCAGCCCTGCGCTGACCATCTGCAAATAGGGCGCAGGCAGTAAGGCCTAGCTTTCCTCTGCAGGCAGTGACAGTGCGACTAAAACATGCACCTGACAGATGTGTTTAGCATCAGAGGAAGTAGGAATCCCAAGCAATAAACTGAGAAGTGGTTATATTTTCTCATATTCCTTTGATTTCTAAAACTAAAGATATTGAGTATCCAGCATATTTAGTACGTAGTTGAGGTTTTGAAATGTAATGGAAGTTTTCCCATGAAAAACAAGTAATAAAAGTAGACTAATGGTCAGTATGTGACGTCAGAGAGATGAGAGACATGGCACACAGTGTAGATTCATGATATCATACATCAGTTTACAGTTCCTCTCTGGTTTACGCATGTATCATGTGTGTAGGGAACATAGGTGTGTGTCCCCCTGTGACAGGAGACAGGGTGGGGCTAGAGCAGCTTCCCATAGGTCAGGTGTGGGAGACAGGAGTTTATATGCAGGATGTCTTCCTGCTGTAGGGCGGGGAGCAACATGGGGTCATGGACATGGCAGGCTGCAGTCCCTAGGTATCTAGAGTGGGGGCCAGCTGCGCGTGCTCCCCACAGCACCTGATAACCTCTGTTTCTACACACCTTTGCGCCTGCTGTTTCTCCCCCTGTAGTGCCCCTCCTCTGCTCCTTATGGAGCTATTTGTAATGTGACATCTGCCACAAGAGCACATGGAAGAACAGCAGGCTGCTGGTGGCCAAGCCAGGACCTCCTTGCAGCCAGAGCAGCATCTAGCAATGGGGAGGCTGTGGTCAGGTGCACCCTGCGTGCTGGCAGCTGCTTCACAGTCCAGGTGGTGGGCTCAGCGCAGGGTGTGGAGGCTGTGTGGGCACAGTGACCTGAGCCCCTGCTCATGGCCAAGGCCTGTGTGGTGCTTGGACTATGGAGACAGGAAGGGGGTGCATGCAGAGAAGCAGCTGCCGGGAGTGTGTGAGCACCCCTTCCAAGTAAGGGCTTCTGTTCTGTGACCTGTCATCTTGAAAACGCAACAAGAAAGGTGAGCAGTTCACCCACAGCCCGTCAGTACGCTGCTCTTCCAGCCTCTGCCTCACCTCACAGTTGAAAACTGTGCTTTCTAATGTCTTTTCCATATGGCAAAGCCCATCGCAATTTGTGTTTATTGATGTTTCATGTGTACCCTGCAATCCATCTGGAAACAGAGTATTTCCATAACTCTGTAATTTTCAGACTTGGCAATTCTTGGTATTGTGTTTTTTCCCATCATCAGAACTGTTTTGTTCCTATGAAGTTTTTTGGGAGTGAAAAGAAATAATGAAATTGCATTATTCTGCTTCTGGCTTGGGTTATGAACATCAATATAAAAATATTTCAAATCAAATAGGTAGAAAGTGTGGGACACCGCACCTCAGAAGCTGCTAGACTGCTGGGAGGGTAGAAGGTAACGTTTGCTGTGTTTGTCTGGAGAAGCATGTAATCCCACCACCGACCCTGGCTAGCATTTGGGAAAAGTTAATGTCGTTGCCTCTTTTGTGCCGAGTTCACAATGTGACCACTTCAGTTCAGTTTGGTCCAGAGTCAGCCATCAGAGGAGAAAATAAGTTTCATCAACTTAAATGGTAAAGTGGCCTAAAATACTTATCAGCTGTTCATATGGCCGTGGTGCCCATAAAGTTCCCACATGACCACAGGAGAAAGGCCCTAAGGGCATGTGTGAACTGGATGTTACATACCTGATAAGCTTTCCTCACTGACAGCCTGCAGACCATTCTCATTGATTTTAAGTTCTTCTAATGCAGACGGCAGTTCTGAAGGAATCTCTGCCAGGTTGTTTCCATCCAGATTCAGGCGCATTAATTTCTTCAGATGCTTAAAAAGCAAATCTCAAGATTACCTTTTCATGTGGTCACAGACGTACAGTTGCGCGTCTGCTTCAGGAGTCAGAGTGCAGTGACACCTTCGCCTTACACACCTGCGTGCCCTGTCTCCGGCCCTCATAAGCTGTGTGTTCTCCCCTCCTCTCCCCCTTTCTGTACTGTGGCTTTAGTGAGCGGGACAAAGCTGTCTCTGCTAGACCGCTCATACTTTGCTAGATCTTAGGTTTCCACCTTCTCAGCCTGAGACACAAAGCTGATTAGGTAGTTTGGTAATCTGAATCTCATGGATGCTGGCAGTGAGAGCAGTCGTGTGAATCCTTACCAGGTACTGTACGCTAAGTAGAAACAGTGGTAAAACAGCACTAATGATTGCAGAAGTGCATCAGGGCAGTAGATCGTTCCTCTGTGTCACCCACACGGCCTGGTGGCTATGTGCCCATCTGCCTAACTGCCTGCCCCACTACAGTGAAGCATGGCAGCTGGTGGGTTTGGGCGATGCCTCACAGATGAGATGATTCAGCTCCAGGCATTCAGTCAGGCTTCAGCAGTTTGAGAATGGGACAGAGGATCCCAAAAACAGAAAGGGAGATGCTCTCCCATGAATCTTTCTGATCAAACAGGAAACGTGAGTCCCAGTTGTCATGTGACAAGGACTCTGCATCGGCGGCTTGAACATGGACACCAGCCCAGGATTTGTATGAAGGGCTGTAAAGGGGGGAAAGTTTGCCTAGGCTCATTGTCTTTCCCCCACTATTCCCTGTGCTGATTTTCATCTGAGCCCACTTGTGTTTCCAGAACCTCCTCTGGCTCACATGTTCATCAGGTCCTGCCCACGACACAAAGTAATAGAGCTCTTTCTGGCCTGAGAATGTTAACAGAGTTTCCAGAGAAGCTCTCCTTTGTTCTCAGAAATACCTCACATACTAAGAGATCATATTTCAATATATTTTCAACTGCTTGGGGAGAAACTGCTCTATAAGTTCAAAACATTAGTTCTGTCACTTTTGCTGTTGTAGCTGCTCTAAGGGTGAAGCATAGAAAAACCAGCTAGAATCACGTAAACAACAGACTGTACTTAAGGTAAACCTTGAAGGCGTTAGGAATGTCAAAGAGGGAACTTTCTTGACTTAGGAGCACACTACAGTGCAAACATGTTCCTTTCACTCCCTTCCCTTCTGCCAGCACAGAGCTGTCCACAGGGATCTTTCCTCACCAGGTGGAGCATGTATATTTACCTTGAATGCTTTGGGACCTATGCCTGGGGAGGTGATGTTATTTTTGCTCAGATCAAGCCTTTCCAGATTTGGCAATCCATTGAATGCTTCGTCAGGAATGGCGGTGATGAAATTGCCTAGAAAACACAGCAGTGTGGTTTTGGCCTCTGTGTGCACATGTGCAAGGCTGCATATGTGTATTCATGAATGTACATAGACAGCAGGGGAGCTCTACTCAGAGGAGAAAGTAATACCCATAACAAGGACAGCATCTGTACGAGCAAATGCAAATGTAGAAGACACCATCCTGGGGCCTCCACTCACAGGCTTGTTGTGCTGGTGGCCTTCCTGTTTTAGGTGAAGCTGCTGTGAGGACAGCTAGACAACTGTTAGCATTTTATAACAGAGATGTGTTTCTGGAAGCTTACGTAGAAACTGATTTTCCCACTGACGGTCCCTGGGCCAGAAATTCCACACTGTCACCCATGGGATGCTGTCATCTCACTTACCTTGCTGAAATTTCCTTCTCTAGATGAGGAGCGCAGGGGGCTCCAGATCTAATGTTGTAATTACATGGCTTCAGTCTATACAACTTCCTACATGCTTTACATTTATGGGGTTTGGTTAAGTGGCTAGTTGATGATTTTAAACCCAGACTGTAAGTAAGCTTAACAGAAACAGTCCTATAAGAACCATGTGGTGACCTTCTCAAAACCAAGACCATGTGACTGAGCATAAGTCTTTCGTATTTCATAAGACCTCAGGCTTCCTCAGATTGGGATTTCTTATGGTGGGGCCTGACATCCCCACTGTGGCAGGGAGGATATTGCTAGTGTCTGAGCTGCTTGGCATGAGAGATTTCCCTATGGGATCGTGTGAGCATGGTGTCCTCTCAAAGACTGGCCATCCTGAACCAAGCTGTCAGATGTCATCTATTGAATATGAATTTATAAGGTTACTTATTATTTCCTGGCAGTTTATTTCTGTGACTGCCCCTGAGACACGTCTGAAACCCCATTCAGATTCTCGCACCCCAGCGTCTTCAGAGTGCAGCTGGGCTGTGGGTCTTGTCTCACAGATGGACACACACCCGGGGTTCCCACCAACCAGCCTCACACCCCCTGGCCCTGCCATTCCTCTGCTCAGGACCATTCCATACCCACATGAATGGCTGCAATGAGGGAAAGACAAGTGGCAGGATGCAGGACAGCAGGAACCCTCCTGCATCTCTGGCAGGAAAGCCACAGCCCCCTTGGGAAGTATGGGGTGGCTTCCTTGAAAGCTAAATGTGCCTTTACTCTGTCACTCAGCATTTCCACTCCTTGGTGTGCACCTTACAAGCAGAAGCCTAGTCCACACAGACCTATGTGTGGATGTTTATAGAGCTGTATGTATGGTCGCCTCAAACTGGGAGTGACCCCAATGCCCCTCAGGGTCACCGGCACCTGTGGTCCATCTGCATAAGCACAACACATTCAACAGTGGGGAGGACCAGCTCCTGAGGAGTGCGGGGTCCTGGGTGACCCTCCACGGTGACACAGTAGGAAAGGGCCAAGCCCTGGAGACCCATCACCTCAGCAGAGCCCAGGGCAGGTCGCAGGAGGGGCGACCGTGGGTCCTGCAACTGTGGGTTGCAGGGTGGTTCTGCAACTGTACGCATCAGCCAAAGCTCGAGAATAACTTGCTAAAAATAAGTTTTACTGCATGTAAATTATACCTCAGCAAAGCTGACTTTAGGGAAAAAGTCAATGGGAAATCCTGATTTGGTTTGGGGAACTTTGCTTTGTACCTAACTATGCTATTTGTTCTGCAAAGTTTATATATGTAACTGTGGATGTGAAGTTAGTCTGTTTGGGATCAACTCATATCATGAGATTAAAAATACGACGTTCACAAGGCAAGGCGAGTGAGTTACTTGGAAAGCACAAAGCAGAAGAGACATCCCCGTGTCTTACCAGCGAGCTCCAGGCTTGTTATCTCTGGTCCTGTCAGTGGTGGTATCTGCAAGAGGCCAGCGCTGATGCAGCTGATGGTCCTGTAGGACAGGGAGCACCGGCTCGGCACAGACGGCATGCCCCGGGGAGGAGGGGGGCCCCGGGGTCTGGACCACACCCTGAACATGTCTCCTCTGATGGTGCTCTCCTCCTCCTCCTCCTCTTCCTCCTCCTCCTCCTCCGCCTCCTCAGCCTCCTTGTCCTCCTCAGCCTCCTCCCTTGCTGGATGTCCCTGCTGATGGGCTGGCCTCCCCACTGCTCGTGGTCTCCCTGCCGCTCCTCTGCTCTGCTCCTCAGCAAGAGATCTTCCCTGCCCTCCAGGTCCAAGGGTCTTTTTCTTTTGCTCCTTATCTTTATCTTCTTTAATTTCTTCTTCATTCTCCTCAGATTGAAGTTCCTCTTTTTGTAGTGCTTGATCCATTTCCACCTGGTGAGGTGAGTTGGTAGGTTCTGTTTGTTCTGAAGAATCACCAGAAAATTCACTCCTATCACTTAATGCTGTACCAATGAGCTGCAGATGGGAGGTTGCTGGCCATGCGGGGAGGATACAGCAGGGGTGAAGTGTAACATTAGTCAAAGGAAAAATCATAGTGAAAGTCAGGTTAGTAAATATTATTCCCTCCAGGTATTTGAGTGCAATTTAAAGGTAAAGTGCATTTTTGAAATTTTTGCTTGAGTAATTTTAAAACCAATTTTATAAGATTTGTTTTAAGCAATTTTTTTTCCTGTGGCCTTAATATTTATTTTTACTAAAACATCTTGCTACCTGGTAATAAAGAGGGAATAATACTGCCACATGATGCAAAATGGGAAGTACTACCTGTGTGAGGTTTCGCTACGATGAGAGGTGACCTTTATAATAGATACTGTTCAGTTTATCGGGGTTTTGATCATTGTAAGAGTCAGATAAAAAACTGAAACATGTATGTACTTGTGCTACTGGAACTGGCTTATGTTTGTAGATTTGTTGCTATTTTTGTCTGACTTTCTTTCAGCCCCATAGGCCCAAAAGCATCTTCTGAAATTCAGGATTATAGAAAGTTCTCCTGTTTCTCCCTTCCAGACTCTCTACTTAAATTTTTACTGCTTGACACTTAGGGAGGCCTCCTAGATCCAGATAATGCTGTTTTGGGTTAGAGGTGCACACAACTGTCCTTTCAAAAGTTCTACAATGATGGGAGCAGAGTGACCTGCAGCTGGTGTCACCTGCGTGTGTGTTTAGCAAAAAGGTCACCTCCACCGGTGACAGGAGCGCGGGGAGAAGGGGGCCCCATGCGTGCGGGTCTCCTGGGTCGTTGCTCTGCTGTTGTTTGATACTGTACGCAAATCACCCAGGAAAGGGACTCAGGAGATAGGCCTGCTTGACGAATACTTGAGATTTCAACCCAGTATATATTATAAAGTCGGTTATTTTCACATCCTTCACAGAACATGCAGGAGGAAAATAGGAAAGAATAAGGGACAGGAAGCTGAAGCGATCATATTGAAACATTTATAGTCCTTCCTGTACATCCAAGTTTATTTTTCCAAAATAACCTCAATATTTCAAGATTATTACAAGGCCTTTGAACCCTGTCTGCTCATTCCTGAATCCTACCTGTGTGTTTGCTGACACTATTAGAGGCACAGCCCCCGAGTGAGACAGGCAGTCGTATGCGCTAGCATACAGCTAGCTCCTAAGTGCTCTGAAGTCCTCCTGGTACCCACCCCGTGGCCGTCCTGTGTGCATGGAAACAAGCTGCCTTGACTGTAGACAAGAGAAAATGCCCATTCCTTCCCACGAATTTACCACCCATTTGTCTCTTTCTTGAGGCACTGGCTGGGCTCTTCTTGGGGACGTCCGCTGTCCCCGAGTATGAGCTATGGAGAGCAGGGGCTGGTGAGTGCCCCGCAGGCCCCAGGGCTTTCCTGTAGGGCCAAGCACCAGCACTTATCCGCTTTCCTGAGTGGTAATGAGTGCAGGTTGCAGGTGGCAGGAGACACTGAGCTTTGTTCTCTCGAAGTGTAAACCCCCTTCCCTGTGTTCATCAGGAGTCCTTGGTCGTCCTTCATTGCAGTCTTAACCTATGCATGCACTGAGTTGGATTAGGGTAGCAACTCCATGCAGGGAGCCAAGCCATGCTCTTCCCTTGCACAGCACAGGGTGTTGTGGGTTCTGCAGACTGTCCCTGCCCCTTAGAGGGGTTCCTGATGGAGCCAGAACTACACAGGCAAGATCTGTATTTCTGTCCCCTACCATAGATTTTCCCAAATACCTGGTATGTTTATCATTACTTGCCAGTACTCTAAGTACCTTGATGACTAGTTTATCATAATCTAAAAGCTAAGGTAGTAACAAAAACAACAGAATTGAAGACTGTCACATGTGATACTTTGTTGTGGGTAAATACTTGTACCTGCGTCAGAACAGACAGAGCAGCACTCTCCTTCAGGCCTAACTGTCTGGGGGCACATCAGAGGGTGGCACATCATCTCATCACAAAGCACTCTTCCATTTGAGCAGAGGCAGGTAGTGCACGGCTCAGGAGACCACACCGCTCTGTTGTACATGGTCATCCCATTCACCAGACAGTGTCCCTTCTTTCCTAGAAGAGAAGTGGGAGCATAGTAAGTTCCTCATATGTTTGCCAGTACGGTGGATGAGGGTGAGCACAGTGTCGAGTTGAACGGATAGGATCACACCAGGGTACATTCTCACATGGGGTAAATAGACCCCAGATATGTGACCCAATAGGGGCTTCTGCGTGCTCTGCTTTCAGCCTGTGGTTTAGGCTCTGAGCTGTACCTCTGTACCATATCTGTCTGGGTGACTTAGTTATATAGCAGCACCCCCTCCCCCCCAGATCTCAGCAGTTCCTCCTCTGTGCCATGTGTCCATTGTGGGCACACTGGGGCTGCGGTAGTGATGGTCACAGAGACAGCAGCTTCTGCATCTCCAAAGCAGAGGGAGGGATGGGAGGTTGTGAATCCCACACAAGCCCTAAAAGTGCCTCAGTACCTTGACCAAAACAAATGATGCAGCCTTATCTAAATTCAGAAGAGACACGGCGTGGTAGTTCCCTTGGGTGCCAGAGGGCAGAGAGCAAGAACGACACCAATGATGAGCCCACGTCTCACTCCTGCCAGTGTGCAGACGGGGAAGGCAGAGCCAGGCATTGCAACTGACCGTTTCTTAAGAGTTACTGTGTTACTGAAAACTAGCTCACACATCATTGGTGTCGTTCCTGTGAATTGTTTTCAGTACAGCGATTTCTCTATGTCCAGGGTTGTAGACATGTGGACAAGTGTGTCAACCAAGGGAGCCATCAGACCGCCTGCCTTGATTGGAATGTGAGAGCAGATGCCGCCTTCTAACCTAGAATCCCCAAGTCCCACCTGTGGGTGGGCTCTCACATTCATTCCCCCCATCCCCTCCTTTCCCTCACCATTCAGGACCTACCCAGCAGTTTCATCTGCGTAAGATAAATTCAGTGGCTTAAGGCAACTTTTTGGTTGAAAATAGTTAACAGCTATTTATTCATAGAATCATCTGAATAATTTGTTTCTGTGTCCCAGATGCTCTATCATTATAAATGAAAAAGCAAGTTACAACCTTACTAGGTATATTATCTGTATTATAAATCCAGCTATTTGAAATACATGGCATAGGAAATACTAGAAAATAATAGACCAAAATAGTAACTATGGTTTTATAAATATAGTTGTGGGATAGCTATAATTTTGTATTATAATTAAATTCTATAAATGAAATTTTAAATTATTTCAAAACTTATAGACTAAACCAAAAGATAGAGTATCTTGATATTATAATAATTTGAAAATATATATTTAGTATATATTAATTTGAAAATATAACCTAAAATTATAATATATTAATAACCATATAATAACTTGAAAAAAATTTTTGGAAAATTATCTTCATGGAGGTTCTGTTTCTCCTTCCCCCCCTACTGGTTTCTTACCTGGTAACACATTATAACTTGATTCTACTCCAAGAAAATTTAAAAAGGAGTCAGACTTTTCCTCTATGCTATAATCCAGGTTAAGCACAGGAATTGTTGCTGTTGGTGTGACCACTGTCTGCTGGATCCCCAGCTGCCCGCTGGATCTGCGGCTGGGTGAGGAGCTTTTCCTCAATCTTCTATAATACACCCTCCTCCTTTGTTTCCTAGGTGTTTCTTCATTTTGTCCAAAATCAGTTTGAAAAACGATAAGCAGAAGGACACAAAGCAGACCTGCAAACTTCATGCTTGCCTTTTTCACCATCCAATTTCTAGAATGAAAAGGAAGCAGAATTTTGGATTTAGTAGTGCCTAATTTTTACCTTTGAAAATTGGCTAATTATCGCTTGTGTGCCTCAACAGCATCTTGGAGAAATGACACACATAATATGTGGACTATGTGCTATTGTGTTACTGCCAAATCAGAATCTAGAATTCTTCTATCAGAATCAAAGAACTTTTAATATCTTTACCTCTAGATCAGGCATAAGGCAACTTTTTTCTATTAAAAACCAGATATTAAATATTTTAGGCTTTACAGGCTACACATTGTGTGTCACAGCTACTCCACTTGGCTCTTACAGTGTGAGAACAGACAGTGGTACACAAACGGGTGTGCTAGTAAAGCTCCAATTACTAGACCGTTTGCTTGGCCTCTAAGCTGTGCTTTGGTGAGCTATCTCTGGACAGCTGTGCTGTGTCCTCAGGTTACCCAGGGTTGCTCTACCTATGTGCCAGGTCATCCTCTGACTTGCCCCACCCTCGGCCCTGTCCCCTGCTCTGCTCTTTGGTTCTTCTGTCCTCTGGCTTTATAATTTCCTTTGTTAAGAAGAAGGGGCATGACTGCACCCTGTAAAAATAACAGCCAACTAGTGTCAGTTGTAAAGATATAAGACAGACAAAGAGAAACTCTTAAGTAACTGGTCTCAAGAGCACCACAGGACCTTGCATGTTGTAAAGGTGAAAAAGGTATTGGTGAAATGAATACTCATACATCTGGTGCTGAAGACCACATGTTGTTGTGGCAGTGTGGTTAAACACGTTCGTCCAGGCCCTGTGAAGTCAGATAGCAGAGAAAATACAGAGAAACCTTCCACAAGGTGATTGATTGTAGGGGCTGGTTACAGGATTCACCTGGCCACAACTTTGACCATGGTTAGTCCTGCAAGGAAGTCTGCATGACATCTATTCCCCTTTAAACTGAGAGCCGGTGTCTCCCCCGTGGCCTCTGCCTGGCAGCTCTCCCCTCTGCTGTTCACTCAGGTTCCCTCGCTGTCAGTACCCCAAGATGGAGGAGAACCTAAAACCTCAGGGATGCTAAGGACCTAGGATCATTAGCTTAAGTGGCAGCCTTGCTTGGTGATGAGATTTACCTCTCCTCACAGCCTGCCTCACTGAGTGACACCTCTGTCGGTCAGAGCAAAACTGTTAACATTTCAGAAAATGTCACCCTGGAAGGAATGGTAAAGGGTTTAAGGTGATGCATGTACAGAGATTAAAATTCCAAGCTGCAGAGGAGGGATTTTGAAGGCTCAAAGGGTCAAAACCTTGGCCATAGACTGTGAACCCAGCAATCTTGCTGGGACCTTAGGAAATAGGCCCCATAAGCTTTGGGTTCAACCTTTCTGTGTGAAATAAAGTGCTCTGCTGACATCAGACACTACTATGTTACAGGTCTGCTTTGAAAATCTGTGGGCAGGTTGTAGGAACCCCAAAGGGCATCTGAATGGAAAACCATGTACAGGGAGGTGAGTTGAGGCCTTCCTCATGCCACAGTGCCTACCCCCTAAATGTACAGGAACTGAGGATAATCAGTGTCAGTCTAGCCAAATATTGTGACTTCTACCAGTAGAAACCTATAATGGTTGTAGCAAACATAAGGTTGCCACCACGGGTCTTTGCCTAAGTACAGATGTCACACACATTCTCCATGTGTACATCACCAAGAGGTCAAGAATGTGAGCACTCTTCATCGGGGTTGCCATCCCCGCATTGCTGACATTCCTTCCAGTTGTGCAATTAGTGACCAGAGTGGATCCAAGAGGCAGCGACTCCTAGAAAAGCTAAAAGTTAGTTCATGGTCACCTCATAGAGAACCCATCAGCCATTATAGCAGTTTTGTGACTTCTGCTTCTAGCCAAAATGGGGTAACAGAGACACCACCCAAGATAACTTATTAAAATTAGGACAAAAAACATGAGGCTATGTTTTTCAAACATTAGACATGAAGCAGCATAGGACATTGACCTCTGGACGGGGCGGGAGGGCAAACAAGTCCAAGGTGAGCCTCTCTTTATGCTGCAGCTCAGGGAGGGGACCCAGCAAAGTCCTGGTTTCCCTGGGGCGAGAGTTTGCAGAGCAGATAGTAGAGAGGAGAGCTGCCCCCGCAAAGCCTTCCAGAGACCTCAAGTCTTCAGCTGAATTCTGATTAGCATGTCTGCGTGAGTGAACTTCTCGACACGGCAGAAAGAACTACTGTACACAAAAGGGAAAATCTCTGGGGCTTGTAAAAGATGGCCAGAGTTTGGGTGCCCACCAGTCAGCCTGGGAAACCTGCACAGGGCATCAGGTAAAGTGTTCAGAAGGGCCCTGGCACAACAAGGGAAACAGTCCACCCCAGACTAATGAACAGCATGCATCTCTGAAGGATCACACTGTATGCAATAATGTGACCATGTCCCAGATCACCCAGTAGGTGTTTGGGAGTCTGGTGAAAACTTAGGCACACAAAAGTGGAGGAAAAATGGTGCATAAAGATTATGTTCATATAAAAGATTTTATTATTTATTCATGAAAGACACAGAGGAGAGAGAGAGGCAGAGACACAGGCAGAGGGAGAAGCAGCCTCCATGCAGGGAACCCGATGTGGGACTTAATCCTGGGACTCCAGGATCACGCCCTTGGCCAAAGGTAGGCGCTAAAGCACTGAGCTACCCAGGGATTCCCAAGCTATAATAAGTTAAAGATGCATATGCTTGAAACTCTAAGATAACCACTAAACAAAAAAAGAGTTATAGTAAATAAGACAATAAAAGAGATCGAATGGAATAATAAAAATTATCCAAAACGTATTTATAGAACACATTAAATGTAAATTAGTTAAATGCCACAATTAAAAAGCATAGACTATCAGGTTAGATTTTTTTTTAAAGCATGACCCAACTTTTGCTGCCTGTAAGAAACTCATGCTAAATATAAAGATGCAAATGGGTTAAAATTAAAAGGGTGGGAAATTTTTATATTGTGGTAACACTAATCAAAATAAAAATGGAAAGAAAAAAAAAGAAAAATGGAGTGTCTGTATTAACATAAGTTCAAGTAGATAAGATAATCATATTGCCAAGCATGAGGAAAGCCTTGCATAATGTTAAAGGGATCTATTCTTCCCGAAGACAAAACAATCTCAAACCTTTATATGCTGAATAATACAGTTTCCAAATAGCTTGAAGGCGCAAGTGGAACTACAGAAAGAAGATAAATCTACAGTCAACATCCACAATTTCTACTCTGCTGTCTCATACAGATTTTAAAAATAGTAGATAGTAGTTAAAACACTGAAATGGAGTGCCTGAGTGGCTCAGTTGGTTGAGCATCTGACTCTTGATTTTGGCTCAGGTCATGATCTCAGGGTTGTGAGACTGAGCCCTGCATGAGGCTCTGTGCTGAGCATGGAGTCTGCTTGGGATTCTCTCTCCCTCTGTCCCACCCTCCCACTCACATTCTCTCTCAAACAAAAAAAAAACAAAATGAGATACCACTGGACATCTATACATCTATTAGAATGGCCAAAATAAAAAAACACCAGACAACACAAAATGCTAAGAAGGATATAGAGCAGCAGGAACTCAACATTCGTGGCTGGAGGGGATGCAGACTGGCACAGCCACTTTGGAAGATAGTTTGGCAGTTTCTTTTTTTTTTTTTTTAATTTTTATTTATTTATGATAGTCACAGAGAGATAGAGAGGAGAGGCAGAGACATAGGCAGAGGGAGAAGCAGGTTCCATGCACCGGGAGCCTGACGTGGGATTCGATCCTGGGTCTCCAGGATCGCGCCCTGGGCCAAAGGCAGGCGCCAAACCACTGCGCCACCCAGGGATCCCCAGTTTGGCAGTTTCTTAGAAACTGAACACACTCTTACCATGTAACCCAGCAATCATGCTCCTCAGTATTTACCCAAGGGCCTGAAAACATATGTTCACACAAAATCCTGCATGCGGATGTTTACAGCAAACTTAGAAGCAAGCAAGATGTCCTTCAGTAGGTAGGTGGATAAACAGTGGTCCATCTACTCAAGGGAATATTAATAAGCACTAAAAAAAATGGACCATTAGGCCATGAAAAGTTGGCTTCTTTCACTAAGTGAAAGAAGCCAATCTGAAAAGGCTAATATTGTAATATTCCAACTCTGTGACATTCTGGAAAAGGCAAAACTGTAGACACAGTAAAAATGAGTTGCTGCCAGAAATTGGTGCCAGGGGGGGAAGGATGAATAGATGGAGCACAGAGAATTTTTAGGGCACAGTCAGAATACTCTGTATGGTACCATAATGATGGACACCTATTGTGACACTTTTGTCCAGATCCATAGAATGTACGCCATCAAGAGTGAACTGTAATGAAAATTATGGACTTGATAATGATGTGTCAATGTAGTTTTGTGAGTTGCAACTTTCTGTGAACCTAAATTTGATCATTGTCATATATAAAAACATGCTAACACTGTGCTTAATTTTGAAATACAGTGTTTTCCCATTAAGATCAGGAACATGGGGCAGCCCGGGTGGCTCAGCGGTTTAGTGCCACCTTCAGCCCAGGGCATGAGACCCAGGATCAAGTCCCATGTCAGGCTCCCTGCATGGAGCATGCTTCTCCCTCTGCCTGCTTCTCCCTCTTCCTGTGTCTCTGCCTCTCTCTGTTTCTCAAACAAATAAATAAAATCTTAAAAAAAAAAAAAAAAAGATCAGGAACATGAAAGGATGTCTGGTCTCACGACCCATAGTCAACATTTTATTGGGTGTTCTGGCTGGTACAGTAACATAAGACCAAGGAACAAAATGCATCCAGACTGGAAAAGAAATTGATGTTTCACAAATGTCTTATTCATGTATGTAGAAATCCTATGCCACCAAAAAAAGCTGCAGCTGAGTTTATAGCAAGGTTTCAGGATATAAGATCAATATACAGAAATCAAGATTAATTCAATATGCTAACAACAATGAGAAAGTTAAGTTAAAAATACAACATTTAAAATAAAAAGGCATTAAAATGTG